CACTTCTCATGTGGCTGCTGCCCTAGAAAGAAAGGCTGCTGGATTATCTTTTTCTTCTGCCAACATGCCTTACAACCCTACATTTTCCAAACAATATTTCAACTTCTAATTTCTTCCATTTGTGTTATGCATGTGTGTGTGCAACCGCTCACGCCCGCAATAACTAAACTGAAGGCTGAAATTGCAATAAATTTCAAACTCATCTCACCCTATTCAACCGTAGATTACGCATGAATTGGAAACGCCCGTTTTAGCACGCGGCAACACTCCCATCGAAAATCAGTCGAATGGATTCGGAGTATTTTAAAATCTATACAATCTATCTACAAGAAACCTATACAAGAAATGCTAGGGCGTGAGTCAGAGGATTCGGTTAACGAACATGAGATTCTGTCACAATCTCTGGAAGACTCCATAATATTTTCAAGAAGTCCATGTTTCTACCACATGAAATAATGTTCAAAAATACAGAGATTAAGTAACCTATTTTCAGTGGCACATATTTCACTAGTAGATTATGTATATACATAACACGAGAAACGCACCATAGATACCAACAGGAGGATCCAGTTTATCTTAAAACGAGTGGATTGTGTGCGAACAATGTGGGTTCTTAATTCCATAGGTAGAGTCCAGTCGAATTTCGTTTTTATCACATGCACATGTGTGACACAATAGAGCATCGGTAGGGATTTACAAGAGTTTGATAATTAAACTATTAAGAGCATGTGGATATGCATGTGCATAATAAGATGAGTTGTGAGGGTTCATATAATCCTCCAGAGAAAAGTCTCTTATTACAACAGATCCTAATGGTTATCTGATTCGTACCCAATGAAACATACCCACGCTCTGTCGACAAAAGTGCTAGACAGTTGGGCTTAATGGCACTGACAATGGGTAAGCAGTTCTGGTGTCATAATGGTAAAACATAACGTCCAAGCTGGACGAGTGATAAGCCGGTGAGAACTTCATTCGCCATGCTTATTCTTAAAGAACGGATCACTGTGGGGAAACCAACAAACACCACCAGCACGCAGGTCAGCGAAACACGTCAGTTGATAGGAAACCGACGGTTACAGTTATAAAATTATGGTTTCTCTACCCCAATCACTGCCAGACATCTTGCAACAAAACCAGTGCAACACCACATACGTCCATGAAAATTTTAATAGATGCAGTGCAAAACCGTTTGGTCCTAGTGACTTCACAAACGGCAGGCAGGTCTGCAACATCAGAAATGTTCGCACCACAGCCTTAGCGAAGCCTTCTTCAGAAATGCGTGATTTTCTTTTCAAGTTTCTTTTGAGCCAATCACAAGTATAACAGAAAAAGTTCGCTTGTTTGCTGAGGTTAAGGAATGGCACTTACTAGCCCACCAGCGGGTGGCGTGGTTATCGCCAGTTCTCTTTCTCATCAGTTGCACACACTAATGTCACGGTATAACCAACCTAGTTGTCTTTCAAACAAACATGATTCATTGATCTGTCTTTTAGAGTTGTGTGAACATGCTTTCGGCGCGCTTAGTTTACTAGTGACATGACAGTAAAAATAGATGACGGCAGTGAGTTCAGCGATTCATATCGTCAGGATACCGGCAGATGTGGAGCAGAAGCTATGAATTTTTGGTCGAAGTTGCAAACCTACGAGATGAATAATTCATTGCCAAAACTACGGTGCAAACTGGACCGAATTCACATGTTTATAATTCATAACACGTTCCTCAAACAGCAATTATAAATTATTCGACTTATTAACAACATACACACAGCAGTTGTCTCTATTTTTGTTCAAACGAGACCAGTGCTAACAATGTTAGGGATTATAAGAACGGTGGAAGAAAAACACCACCAACAGAGATATGCCTTTTATGGTTTTATATACCACGTTTGGAAGCCTAACACATTATTTTTGGTTTTTCGTCTTTCATCATCTTTGACGAAATATTTTTGATTAGCTAGAGCAGAACGCACTAGTTTGCAGGTGAAATCTAGAACTCAAGGTGCAGCGGAGACTAACTGTCGTGCAGATGCAAGACCATCGGTCGATGAGAAACTCAGTTTTTGAAAAGGTTCCACAGTCGTGTTTCCAACACAGCTTCATGTGAACATGTTCCGGTATTAAACCCAGGAATTCTCGATATTTTCTGGGAAGATACAGTAAGAAGCTTAGGCTGCCTTCCATAAAAATGGATAAATGGTTCGATGGGTGTTCTGAGGAATGTCTAAGTTGACTTGTAAACCGAAAAGCTGCACATCACCCAGGGTTTCTCAACTTCAAAATCCATTACATTAGGACCTCCAGTAAGATAGTTCAATATAGCTTCCACTGATACTTTTCAGGAAATGACTGAACCAACCACTGCAAGATTACACACTTCCCCAGAAGGCACATTCCATCTTCCCGACAACCCTTTCGTAACTGCACGATTTCTAGTCCTTTCCAATTCACTGAATTCCAAATGGCAGCGCAAATGAGTCTTCTGACACGTCATCACAAAGCTGTTTGCTTAGGGTAGTGATGTTTTTAGTGAATCACAAGTTGGTTTGCAGCACCTAACTGCTTAGATTTTTTGCTCTCACCTAGCCTACTCCATCCAGTATTTGTCCTTAAATGACCCGTATTGCGTTCCGCTTAACACAGAATTATGTGAACTGTTAGTTGGTCTTCGTTTAGCAGGTCAAGCAACCTTTTCATGTTTAAGGAAAATGATTAAACTATACTTTGATACAAGTAAAACAGCTTATTTAATCTGCGGAAAGCTGATTACTTTCATCACACAAACATGGACTAGACATGAGCAAAGCTGAGAAACCAGTTGCGTAGCAACAGATATAGAAAGAATGTGACTAGGGCGAGGATTCAGAGGAGTTCGGGGCGCATCGAGCTGGGCATGAGATGTGAGCATAAGAGATAAACAGAAATAAGATGAAAGGCAAGGAAAAATGGAGGAAGCAGAATTCTAGGGCGGAAGTGATCTGGAACTTAGAAACCCTATTCTTGTGGAAGATGCTCAGTTTGAAGATCCCTATGATCTGCCCAACCCACGAGATTTATGTACACGACTGCAAAAGTAACTGAAATCTGGATTATGCACAATGATGGATGCGGTTGATGTTTAGAGGGTTATTTTGCATTTTTCACATATTAAAACGCCGTTTGAGTTCAGCGCTGCCGAGGCCTCGGAAATCGGTCAGGAAAAGCTTTGTTCTACTCCAAGCAAAATCCTCGCGTTTTTCTTAGTGTACAAACAAGCTCCATGATTGCTGTTCGGCATCCTGCATTGGCAGCCTGAATTCGTCCTATTATAACCTTTTCGGTTCTGAGTGGTTCGTGAGTAGCTTGCCTTAGACAGCCGTTTTTTAGGCACCTCAACTGTTTATCTAGACTGATGACTAAAACTAATGAAGCTTGCTAACTGACTGGCCGCAGCTTGCGTTGACTTTTAACTGCACATTGCGAGACATAAAGATGACTGGTTTCCAACACTTGACGACTGATCTTGTTGCCTGCAGTATTGTGCGACTGATGTGATAAGGTTCAAACTCGATGCACTTTAGAGCCTAACGCATAAAGAGACCAGACAGTATCAACACATTTTCCAGGGTATTCGGTAATGAGAACCGGATTGCTCCATGAAAAAGTGTCATCCGAGTTCATTCTACCTGGTTTGTTAGCCTCACAAAGAGTGGAGTGGAGAGTATGGTTAATAGAATATACTCTTTTTGTAACTGTGGATTTGGGGTAACGAGCAAGAAAGTGTTCCAAAGCGGTGGGCTTTTGAAATAAAATATTCCACTAAACTACACTCCGCGTGACGAAATCTAGGATCTGCGGTATTTCATAGCCGCAAACGAGTGATTATAAGCAAGCAAGAACACCTGGTAAATCGAAATAAAAATGAACTATCGCTATGGGTTCAAGAACAGATGTCCGGTTTGCAAATATCTTCCTCGGACAAAAATGTCGTTGCTTGATGGGTTTCAGTCACTGCTAACATCCAGAGAACTTTCGATAGCTAAAATGCCACTCCACCGTCTGTCTAGCGACAAGGAACTAGCCACAATCGTCGATAAACACTTGGGCCAATGGTCTATTTTGTACTCAGTCTGTCAGGTTATGTTTAAGACGCAGAGTCCATGGTTATCAGACTCGATAGGCTTGTCTGTATTTACGTTTTCTTTGTTGCCTTTTTGGATAACCGCTATTTTTTTGCCCAGAAAAGTTTAAGTGACACCTTCTTGGTGACAGATATATTATATTGCGGAATCGATACGTTATCACAATATTGGCTGAGGTCCATGTGGAATATGATATGTTGAATGTATCCAGGAAAACCTTTGCTACTTTTCTAGTCAGTTCAGTTTAATGCAGATTTTATATAGCTACTTCACAGTATCTAAGGCGTAAGAAAACTTGCCCAAATTTCTAACTATTTAGCTGCAAAATTTTATCTCATAATTAAAGTCATTTATTTTACCTGTCTTCAGTAAAGTTATTGTATACCATCAGTAGAAGAATACTCACTGCATCCTTCCGCTGCCACCTTGCATTTCACATTTTGTCAGTAGTGCTCTTGGTAATTGGCCAGTTCAATAATAAAGGCGCCTTCAGAAGACCACTGTTCGAATAGCTATACCATTGAGACCCACATTTCAAATTACGATTGTCTAGTCCAATCATAAGAAAAAACAAAAAAACAGACCCACGATAATAATGAATAACTGTACAGTGACCTTCAGACAAATCGGCAGAAGGAAAGGGGCGATAATTGGAATGTTAAACAGATTTTCTCATAATCTAAGGAAGATCGATATGCTTTACCGGAAGTTAAGGTAGACGACTATACACCACATAAGGCTGCATAAACTAACTGCCATTTAAGGTTGATCTGCTAGAAGCCTCGTCAGGCACACCTTCAAACCACCTGTTTAGTACCAAAACCAATTCACATTGACATCTTCTCTGAATGCAGCCTCATCAAACGCCCCAGTGCTTACCTTTTCAGTAGACGAAGGAAAACCAGAATTCCTTGACCATTAGTTAAGTCGTCCACATAAAATGTTGTCATTGTTGGATGAGGCAATGAAAATAGTGGGCTCAAAAGTTTCCATCAAACGGCCTATGGGCGGCCCCACTGTCAGCCTATTTTAGTGTAGGGCTAAAATCTCTGTTTTCAATAAACATGCCTTGATATCATTGGTGGATTAGAGGCAAGAGCTGTGGTGATGATGGTGTTGGTGATAGTTGTGATGGTGGTGGTGGTGGTGACACACCGATAGCAGACAAAACATGAAGTCTGTGCATTCCTACCACAACACACTCACAAATGCATGCAGCGTAGCTGTCTCCCTTTTTAAGATTGAAAATGGAGCTTGGTAAGCCCTGTGATGCGTGTCTAGGCAACAGGTGTGCTGCAGTGTGATGCAAAGTCTGATGGACTCATGAAGATCGAAAATCCATTTTCTGTTTGTCCAGTTTAGATGATGGTGTGATAGTTGTGATGGTGGTGGTGGTGGTGACACACCGATAGCAGACAAAACATGAAGTCTGTGCATTCCTACCACAACACACTCACAAATGCATGCAGCGTAGCTGTCTCCCTTTTTAAGATTGAAAATGGAGCTTGGTAAGCCCTGTGATGCGTGTCTAGGCAACAGGTGTGCTGCAGTGTGATGCAAAGTCTGATGGACTCATGAAGATCGAAAATCCATTTTCTGTTTGTCCAGTTGATGGAGTCTCTCAAGCATTTCACAAGCTGAGTCAGCTTATTTGTTAGGAGTACTTATCTTTCTTGATCCTCTCTCTTGATCCTTGTGCGACTATGGTGGGTTAATGGCCAGGTTTTACTACTCCCTTTGCGATCAGAAATGAGATATCTGTTGTTAAAAAAACCGCATAACTTGATGAAAAATTATCGAAAAGTTTCCTAGTCAGTCGGTTTCATGATTGGTTACCGTCACACTATAGTTTACTGGAACACAGATTCTACATATTTTGCTGGGTATTATGGTTTATTCAACTATGACCTCACGGTTGCTCCGAGTGGTAGAACTACTTCGTCAGTCGTCTGGTTATACAAGGATATCTGGCAATGTCGTAAAACGAAATATGAAATTCTGGATGTCCATGCCAGTACAGAATGCCATCTTATAATAATCTGCTTCTCCTTATAAGTCCTTTTGCATTCAGAAAGTAACCCTATGCTAAATGCGCTGTCGTAATGAACACCATATGGCTGATAGTTGTATGTAAGAAGCATGGTGTCTTGCCTGAGTAACCACTCTGGGTCACTTATTAGATACAACAATATCACCTGAATCCAAGAAGTAATGTGCGACTTGCAAACAGAAATAAGACTTTTTATCGGCGAACGTTGGTAATTCCTTCAATCTAATAGATGCTCTGTAAAGAATATTGTGAATTTAACATAGCACATTTTACAAATCTGTGTTAAAAAACTTCCAGCAAAATCCAACTGTCGTGGCTGAAATTCACCCAGTTAGTCCGAAGGCAAAACTGACCATTACCCTGGCGCACATTTTTGGAGCTCAAGTAGTACACTTAGCCCATTAAATATCCGATCACTAACACCAGATTAGCTTGGGTTTCCGATTTCCAATAATGTCATCAGAATCTATTACTGTGAAATAATGAACTTCAAAATCGCTAACCGTTTTTCAACACTACTTTGATCGGCTAGGGAAGTAAAGAAATAACGGCCAAAATTCTTTCTGTTTGCTTGCAGTGTTTGGGTCATCGGTGAACGAATTTGCCTAAAAAAATTCGTCAGCTCCACTAAACAAAGCCATCCTCTTGTGCATCAAATTATGTCGTCATAACTGTGAGCTCATCGCCAGATAATGGAACAACTTCGCTTTGGAAAGAATAGTTCTCAACAACTTAGACGAAAGATACAAGTTTAATAATATGTAATCAGTTCTGTGAAAAAAATGCTGAAGCAATCGGAAAAAGTATAGAGCCGATTGAGCAGTCATCGTTTTAGAAGGGCCTGATAACACAGTCCCTGCTTCCGTTTGCCGGGAGGCGATCCCTCAATTTCACCGGTGCAGAGCGCAGAGTGTTCCTCTTCTGAAAGGCTACTCTTATGTTAGCCATGTTCGAAATTCTTCGAATGACTTCCGATGCCCCTGGTTCATATGGGATAGCAGCGGACCCATTCCATGTTGAGTTTCGCTACCGGCACCAACACCCTTCTCAATTGACGCCTAATCAAGCTAGCTGGACAAACTTCAGGGTTGTCCTTTACTTCATTTTTGGCCACTGTCTGATCAGCTTCTTCTGTGCACAGGGCCCTTACACGCCTGAACGTTGATGGTGAATACCAGTTTGGAGCAGCCCAAAACTGCCCCAGTGTCCGTTGGCTTCTCGTACACTGTGGCCTTTATTTTTCCCCGGCTTTATGTATTACATCTTATAACCTGGCCGAATTGGTGATCCGCTCATTTGGGCTGACGAGGCTTTTGTGCCGAAAGCGAGAGGTTTTCCCATTTAAAAATACCGATTGAAAAAATGCTGAAGCAGTTGAAAGCTTACTTCATTTAGCAATGGCTTAAATTTCAACTATTGATTGATAATTTAACAATAAATGAAGTCTTAATTGTTCCCCGGAAATAGGAGAATTCCCTTGATTTCGCACTGGACAGACCATTTCAAGGTTCGACAGAGTGAAGATATATACTAAAAAATCGGTTACTAACATTTTTGAAGGTCTCTCAGCCTTGCTCTTTTACTCTTCGCTTGGTTTTGCCCGGTTTTGTCCCCCACTTGTGAGGTAGTGCCAGTGAATTTCTTTCTGCTTTAAGTCAATTCATGGCACGGCTACACTCACTGTTCACGCCACCGTCTTACATGACAACGGACCCACTTTTGCGGTGCTTCACTTGCCATTATTTAAAGCTGATAATACCATGTGGCGATTCCAAGAGGTAACTTTCTTTTGAAGCTTTAACTCTGATGGCTGATTGGCCTAAAGCTCGCTAGGTAAAAAGTCGTTAGTGTCAGGTAGTACGAGTAACTTGGTTATGCCGGTTACTGAATACACGTATCCAAGGAAAGTGTCAGCTGGTGATTTTATAAATTAATACCCGTCATACCCACCAGTGACACTTCTAATTTATTTGGGCAATAACGCTTAACTAAGCAGTAGAATCCAAGCGGTAAAAGATTGGATCCCTTGCCACCTTTTAGTTGAAGTATCCAGTCAGTAAATTCTCGGATCAGAATCAGTAGGTCTGACCTATGCAGCTATGCAAATGTAAAATCCCTGTTATCTATTAGTTTATTCTTGGATATAAAGCATCTCTGAGTACTTCAAAGTGTAACATTCTAGAAAAATCTAGATAACTGAAATCTTCATTGGTGCCCAATAGTGATATTCCGGTGATTGGCTATCACAGAGATTTCTTTGAATATTCGTAAGCCTTATTCTGTTCGTTTCGTAAGCTTTCGGTACACGTAGTTTAGATATGTATTCATTTGACGATTATCCCCGACATTATTTGCTGTAACCTGAACGCATCATTATCTTAATCTGGTGCACAACTTAAGCTGACAGAAGTACTTTGCATGCAGTCGAATGCCTACAACCTTTTAAACAAACCACCCTGTGCAACAACGGCTTTTGAGAACCGTCACTAAAGCCTTTGACGGTCTGAGAAGACTAGCGCTTGTTGTGTTGTGATTAATAAATATGTGCAGCGGTTCCACTTCAAAAACAAAATGTCTCCTGTGTGTGTTCTAAGGATGCAAAAGGAAGAAACAGTCCTTCAAATGTTGTTGCCTGCTCCACGTTCTCGTGTGATCAGACGTCCGCAATCGACACCGGCCGTGAAAAGCGTTGGGGGTTATTTGACTGCATACTCGAAAAGCAGAATTCGCAATCCGAGAAATCGGCCCATGGAGTAGGCGCCTGACGTCGTATGCGTAAATCCGAAATCCATTCATTCGTCAACCATACTGATGAGGCAGTAACAGCTGCATATTAATATTAATTCTGTTATTGCCATTTGTGCTCTCCACAAGATTTTCACAATGAACCAAAATTTTTGGCCAAAACGGCAAAGTGCGCATGATCAGAGCTCATGGGAACTGGTACTGCTTTAACCACAAACAAATCAGGTTATCTATCATTCTACTTTGGCCAATGAAAAATAAGACAGCAGGTGTTTGTAAATATAAGTTGACGTAGCCACACTCACTAGTCGCTGGAAGACCTGAAAGTCTGAAATAGTTGTTTTGATGTGATACAAGCCATCCAGAAAAGCAGCTATGATTTTGGTGAATACATTTAAGATGAATAGCCACATCGAACAGCTTATTGATCGATCAACGGCCGATCAGTTTTTTAGAACCCTCACATGTATTGACGAAGAAAAAGAACAAATTACACATGACCAGATGAAACGCGAGTGAACACGTGCATGTTTCTGTGTGTGCCAAATGGTATCAGAAACAGATTAAGAACGTTACCGTAAACCTCCCATTCTTCTCAGCTATCTCTATTGAAAAAAATGGTGAATAGTTTGTACATGTTTGATTAAGTACTACGTTTAAAGAATACCAAACCACGTGCTGGATGAGGATAACGCTTTATAATAGGAGGGGATAAGTTGGACCACTTATACCTTCCAACAGCAAGTTACAACCTTTTCTGATAACTGGCTGATTTTCAACTATTAAATCTCAAAGCTCGTTCATCTAATGCTGAGTTATATGCAAGAAACCTGTAAAAAATTAGATTCATGATGGCACGACACAATGACTCTCTTAACCTCTTGAATGCAGGGTCAACTATGATCGCCATAACTTACGGAAAAGTGCACTCTACTGTGAAAAAATATATAGAAAGGATATACTCGACTGTAATCTGCAAACAAGTTATATATAAGCGAATTTTCCAACGGACAGCTCCATTTAGACTTTGTATTTTCGTTCCTCATTTTCTCATTTTTCTATTTCGTACTTTCATCATCTTAGGTGTTTTCTGACCTACACCAACTCAGTTGGCGAATTTTCGTTCAGCTACAGCGAGTGACACACATACAAAAACTGAGGGACGGTCGAACAAGTACTTACACTGATGGATAAGTTTGATTTAGTACACATTAGGA